GCGCCGCGCTCTGCAGAGGCGATCGCCGGTCCCGAGGCCGCCACGCGGCCGCCCCGCCCGCCCCGGATCTCGGTCGGCCCCCGGGCGCGATTGCCGAGGAAGCGGCCAGCTCGCAGAGGTCCAGGCCCTGCGGCCACGCGAGAAGGGCTCCGGTTGGGTCGGCGGCGACTTGGGGAAGCAAAGCTCAGGGACGCAGAAGGCCGGCTGAGCGGCGGAGCTCTCTCGGGGACGGCAGGGAGGCGACCTGACGGATCCCTCCGGCCCCCCAAGGTCGCACTCTCGCTTCAGCTCCCCTCGGCTTGAGTGAGCCCCAAGGGCTGGGATCCGAGATGCGCAGAGACCGGGTGCCAGCTCCCCAGCGGGACGAGCGCTGCAAGCCGGGGCGCACTCGGCGCAGACGAGAGAAGCCCCCGGGAGGTTCCTGGAGGAAAGACCCTCCAAGGTCCCGCTAGCTGTGCTGAGAACTGGACTCGCGTCGGGGCGGTGGGGAGCTCCTGATGTTTTCTGCATTGAGAGTCTCAATGGTGGACGTTTCCGACCCGTAGGTTGCACGCGTGGCTTCAGTTTGTCTCCATTAAAACCAATGGCCGCGCTTTACCTGCTTGGGTAACTTCTGGGTTTGACAGAATCTGCTCCTCCCATCAAATCCGTTTGCCGGGGCCGGGGAAATGGCTCAGTAGAATAAGCGCTTCCCTGGCAAGCGCACGGGCCTGAGTTCAATCCCCGGTTCCGCCAAAAAAAAGTTTGCCTGGGCCTGTCGATCGGCGCGGGAGCCCCCCCCGCGCCCCACCCCGGCGTCTCCGCACATGCTGGTGCAGCTTTAAGTTCATAGATCGGTCATTTAAACCCGGTGGGCTGTGATAGAGGTCAGGGCTGCTCTTGATCACCTTTGGAAGGACATTTAAAGAATACAGCTCTTGTTTACAAGGCCATTTGGCAATGGTTTTCTTTCTTTTTTTTTTTTTTTTTTTTGATAGTACCAGGGATTGAACTCAGGACCCTCAGGACCCTGTGCTTGCCAGGCAAGCACTTATTCTACTGAGCTATCTTCCCGGGCCGGCAATAGCTTTTTAAAAGTATATGCCAGGGCCAGGGATATATCTTAGTGGCACAGGCACCTGCCCTGCAAGCACATGGTCCTGAGTTCAGATCCCCATACCAGGAAAAAAAAAAAAAAAGTGTATACAAACCAGGCATGATGGCGCACACCTGTTATCCTGGCACTCAGAAGGTTGAGGCAGGATTTGCTGTGAGTGCAAGACCAGCCTAGGTTACAAAGTGAGTTCGAGGCCAGCCTGAACTGCATGGAGAAACTCTGTCTCAAAAAAACCAAATAAATAAATAATAAAAACAGTATGCAGAGCCAGATGTGGTGTTGGTCCATAGCCACGTTTAGAGGCCTGTGCTAAGCCATCCACAGCAGTGTCGTCTACACTGTCAGAACACTTAAAAATGGAAATACCGCAGTGTAAAAAGAGAAAGAGAAAACTACATAGTGCAAGCCGGACTCCCAACTGCTCATTGAGAACAATCTGATTTCTGTAAGTTCAAAGCTCTCTTAAGTGTACAAAGAAACTCATGAACCCTAGGGAACCCTAGGGAACCAAAGAAGTTTGTTACAGTAGACTGGACCAGTAATACTCAGGTTCTGGTGGACCTGGAGGAAAGAATTGCCAAGTGTTAGGTTTTTCAGCAGTGCAGCAAACATGCAGAGATAAAAGAAGGGAGGCAGCCTTTATTAACTGAAGACACCACCAGGTTGAACAGTAGGGAGATGGGGGGACCCCCTGACCTGAGAGTGGAAGGCTGAGACTTCATGGGCTTTTGCTAAAGGTGGTGTTCAAGGGGCAGGTTCAGGGACATACAACAGGGCTCCCTTGTGTTCTCCAGGAAGGTATCTAGGATTTGGGTGGGGAAGAAGAAGGAAGTGGTCATTAAGAAGACACACCAGGGAGATAGGCTTGGTGTCTAAGCCCATGCCTGGCAAGCATAAGGACCCAGGTTTGACCCTGGTACTGCATTCCGTGCTGGCCACCAAAACCAGCTGTGGTGGTGCATGCCGGTAATCACAGCGCTGGGGAGGGTGAGACAGGATTACTGGGAGTCCCAGCTATGTAGTGAGACCCTGCACCAAAAATAAGTGAGAGGGTTTTTTGTTGTTGTTTTTAATTTTTAGGTTTTTTTGTTTTTTTTTTTTTTCAGTTTTGGCCGAAACAGGGGTTGAACTCAGGCCCTTGAGCTTGCCAGGGAAGCACATAGTCTACTGAGCCATCTCCCCAAATTTTTAAAAAGGGGCTGGGTAAATAGCTCAGTAGAATAGGAGCTTACATGGCAAGCGCAAGGGCCTGAGTTCAATACCCAGTTCAACAAAAAAAAAAAAAGAAAGAAGAAAGAAGGGGCTGGGGAGATAGCTCAGTAGAATAAGCGCTTGCCTGGCAAGCACTAGGGCCTGAGTTAAATCCCCGGTTTCCCCCAAAAAAAAAAAAAAAAGTTTGGGGGCTGCCCCTTAGCTCAGTTCTTTAAGTGGCTGCTTCAGCAAAGCAGTCAGGCTCAGGTTGCTGTGGTTCGATGCCCACAACTCAAGTCAGCCAAACCTGCCCCGAAGGCATTCGGAGCAAAAAAAGAAAAAAGATAAACTGTTGTTTTAGGGTTCAGCTGTGTTGAGTCAGGGTCACGCTGACTTGACAGCTTGAAGTTGGGCCAGAACCTATTGATATAGGGGGGGAAATCCCCAACCTGAAAGATACCTGGGACACGAGTTCCTGTTCTCTAAAACCAAAGAATGAATGTTAGCAACAAGCAGAGGTTAAGAGTTCAATATTTATTGGAGGAAAGAAAACTTCTGTCTGAAAGGGACAGAAGGCAGTCCTGAGTGGGTTGCCCAGGAATCTGCCTTTTTTTATGATTTTTTTAAATGGAATCTGCCTTTTTTAGGGATTTTTATAGAACAAAACCATGAGGTGGTAAGGAGGGGCGGGTCCAAGGCGGAGAACAGGGGAACTCAAACATGAGGTGGGGCAGAACTATGGTCAACCAATAAGACTACAAGTGTAGTTGCTCAGGTAAAATTCATTAAATCCAGGACCAAATGGTGTGGAGGACCACTTGAGCAGCTCTCCTTGGAAGAAGAGCAATTGCCTCCATTTTGGAGGTGCCTGTCCCTATTTCTGTGTATTGATATTGTTATGGTTTGTGTCTAGGTGTCCCCACCACCACCAAAGCCTCAAGCAGTTAAGGGGCAGACTTCCAGAGTTTGTGATTAACTCATGATTCACTGGGATTATGGGTGTGAGTGCTGCTGGGATTATGGGTGTGAGTGCTATACCCAGCCTGGGGCGGAGAGCCTGAATGCAATGTAAAGGAGGAAGACTTGCTCCCTGCAGGCACAGTTGCCGTGAGGCCTCTCCCTGCTGTCTTCTGCTCTTTGCTGCTGCCGTGAACTGCGGCCCTCTGTCGTGTGCCACTCTGCCATGGTACAGGCTGAGGATGCACTGAAACCTCCGCTGACTGTGAGCTAAATAAACCTTTCCTTCCTTCGTTTTGGGTGTCGGGTGTTTGTCTCAGCAGTGAGCGAAGAGTAACTGAGACACACATGCACAGAGCTGGCTAGGGTTTTTCCTTATCCTTTCATTTGACTTCAGGCAATGCATATGGGTCTAGTGGAGGTGTTGGTGGGAGTCTTTGAAGGTGGCACACGTGTTTCCCTGATAACCCACATCTGCTGCTATTTAATATGAGCTGGGTGGAGATGGGACTGAAGGGCCAGCGCTCCACCACGTTGTCCCCTGGGATAAGCCTTGAGCTAGAGGCCGTGACTTCCTGGGGCTTGAAAGATCACACCTCAGAGCTGAAGCACAAAACACTAGATACTATCTCAGTAGTAAAATGCAAATCACTTTTTCTGCATATCCTCTCTGCATATGACAGGTAAATGCAGGCCTCCTACCCAGCCCAGCTCACAGCACTCACCTACTTCCTGCAGTTCTCAGTCCTTCATCCTCAGCCACTCCTCCTTCAGGACTGAATAAAAGGCGGGTTTGGCGCTGGGTCGAGGCCTTTGCTCTGGATAGCCATCTCCATGGCTGGACCTAGGGTCCCTTGGCTCCCCATAACTATAAGTATGCCTTAGTGTCTTTATTCCCACCTTGGGTTTTTCTGGAAGTGGTGGATTGGAACTAACCTGACAGGATTCTAATAACTTATCCATGGGATTACAAACATAAACTTCCCAGACCGAGACAAGGACCCAAAAGGGCCCCTATAAATGGGGAAGGGAGTCACTTAGCAAGTGGGCACAAATACAGAACAGACGCTTATCCAGCAGAGGGTGGGTCAGGGACTTCCTGGCTTCCTCCAGGTGATTATCAACCCTGGACGCTTATCTCCAGGGAGGTCAGCATTAGTTTGATCTTTGGCCTTGAGATCTCACCCACAGCAGAAGTGTCTTTCTGTCTGTCTCCACTGTCACAAGGCATCTTGACTCCCATATTGTCTTGGGGGGGGCTCCCCCTGTCTGACTGCCTGTAATATTGCTATTTAATCAGTTGCCTCCAACATTATCACCGGGGGCCTGCCCAGTAGCTCAGTTCTTTAAGTGGCTGCTTCAACAAAACAGTCAGGCTCAGGTTGTTTGGGTTCGATCCCCACAACACAATACAGCCAGTCATGCCTTGAAGGCATTCAGCGCAAAAAAAAAA